ATAAACACCGTTTGGTGAGACCAGATGGAATTCAACTGTGAAATCTGTGTTAGGGAAATTGCTTTTCGCAGGCAATCGATGATAATTTTAATTATCATAGCAACAGTTACACATTCGTGCAATTTTCAATAGTGACATTTTGAAAAATGATAAAGTCTTTAATTTAACAGATGCGTCGAAATATTTCTGACCGATTGGTGATAAAATGATTGAAATTGGTCCAGGGGCAGCTGAGTTAGTAACGTTAAATATCTTTCATAATTTTGTTACATGTTCCATTTTCGGATTTCAAAAAGTGTACCCCCATATAGAAATCACAGACGTAGTCCTACGTCAAAAAAGTTTAAAACAGTGACTGATTGAAATAAAAAGTGACTTTAGTGACTTGACCTTAAAAAGGAGACTTTTTAGTGACGCCCTGCAACGCTTTCTCAACTTTAACAGGGCTTCATTAGTTTCCACGGTTTCCCTCCTTTAATTGTCACTGTTGAGGACAAACTCGTGCGTGATTTCGACGATTATCCTGCTGCGGTTTCTTATGACTTCCGAAAAGCTGACCACCGTAGCATCATAGATGTATTGTCTAGCATGGAATGGGAGAACATCCTTGATCCTGATGACGTTGAGGCTGCAGCGCAATTCTTTTCACATGTCTTGGCATGTTTCATTGACAGACACGTCCCGAAAGAACTCATCGCAAAGTTTCTCATCTCCCCAGGCAGACGAGAAAGCTACGTAGGTTGAAGTCAATCAAGAGAGCAGCAGTTGAAGATTTACGAAGTATCGCACGCTTCCTCTCAAACTTCATTATGTTATTCTGAATCACATGTGCCAGCGATTCAGTCGTGAATGCTTTTCAAGTTTCCAACGAGGCATCCAGCGTAACTTAAGCTACACCCGAAATCCTTTTGGAACTACGTGAACGAGCAACGCAGGGAGTCCGGCCACCGACGAACCGACGTGACAGCTCATAGAAGCTACTTTAAAAATCTTGCCCAAGACGCCATATTTAAAATACGTTAAACACTACTGCCATCTACTCATCCGATCACGACACATAATATCATATATTATCATGAGCACACGAAACACGTAAAATTTATATTCACTTGGTTTGTGTCTCACCTCGTTTGACAGATCTGATCGCCCGTTGGACAGATCAAATCGCTCATTTGACAAATCGAATTGCGGGCAAACGAAATGCTCCAGTGGCATGTCGGTTCGTCGGTGGTCTGGCCTTCCATCGTCTATGGTATTCAACGAAGAAGTTGCTGCCATCGGTCAGGATATATGCCACCTGAGATGATTTCCAAGGTCGCGACTTTGCTCAAGTCATCCTTCAATCCCGGACCTGGTGGAGTTCCATCTGTATTTTTGAAGAGACATATTGCTAACTTGTTAATTCCGCTTCATCGCCTGTTCTGAATGTCTTTCTCCAGTGGCATATTTCTATCCTGCTGGAAGTTTGCGCACTTGTTTCCCGGCCACAAAATGGGAAGCAAAGGAGCTGTGGATAACTATCGAAGAATTACATCGTTAAGTGACGTTTCGAAGTTATTAGAGCTAGTGCTTATGGAACCGTTGCTGTCCCATTGCAAGCCGCTCTACAACCACCTTTATTCATTGAAGTTGATCCATGCTATTGCGATTGCTTAACTCGGCAGGCTCAGTGTATGCAGTAATCTTCTGAGTTGGTTTCGATCGTATCTTACTGGTCTGGTCGCCAACTTATGGTTGCCATAGGAGATTGCAGATCAACTAGCTTCTTCGCCACATATACTGATCTTCAACGACGTGCATCTATTCATCGAAGCTCCTCGCTTTTCATATGCAAATAACCTGAAAAATTTCCTACGAATCCGCTCGATCGCTGACTGTCACTTTCTTTAACGTCAGCTGAATGCATTGGAAAGTTGATGCAGTTTAAACGGATAGTGAACCTAGCCAAATGCTTCGCTTGTTCGATCGACGCTTGAGTATTGTTCAGCGGTTATTAACCCGAGAGAATTGAATCTGTTCAACATCGCTACCTTTGTTTTGCGCTACGTAGATTGCCTTGGAATGATCTCTTTCGATTACCCAGTTACGAATCGACCTAGAACCTCTCCGGACTAGAAGGGACACAAGCAGAGCCCTAACCGTTACCGATATCCTACAGGGAAGGACAGATTGCGAGGCTATCCTGAGGCAAATCGACCTAAATGTTCAATCCCGACCTTCGTAACAACCTCATGCTAAGGCTGTTCCTAGTCCCGACTTCTTCAAACTAGGGGAACAGGATTTTTCACTAATCAAATGAACACATCTTAGTCCTTGTTACTTTTTATGCCTTGTTGATAGTGACAAGACTCGACTTTGCCCACCGATGATGATCTTGAAACAAGGAAAAATTAGTAAGTTAGTCTTCATCTATGTGATTCCTAATCTTCCTTAATTTTGTTTCTAAGGAATCCAATTTTGACTGCCAAAGGGGCACGCCTTTGGAGGGTGTTTCAACACATTCCGAAGGCTATAAATAGCGGAACCTTTCAATTAGAGTCGGACCCTTGCGATAAATGCAAGAATGACAAATGTAAAAAAATCGAATACTTCATCATTTCTCAATAGTTATGGAGTTATTCGACATGCACTAAACTAAAGACACGGGTTATACTACATTAGATCAAATAACTGATCGCAGTGGTGTTAGGTCCCAAACAGAGGAAGAAAAAAGGCTGCTTCTACGTCGCACAAATTATGGAGCATACGCTGCGATTTGCAGGCTGCAGGGAGTGTTTAACGCAGTTGCATCTGTCTTCGACTTTCATCTCACCCGTGATGCGCTTCGGCGAATGTTCTCTTCCGTTTTTCGTCGGCAGGAGTAACTGACTTTAAGATAAATGTTTTTTATGTTATGACCATGCTTGGTGTTTTTTTTCCGTAGGACTACATCTTTGTGGGCCATACTAGGGTGCAAATGATAAAAATGCGTAACGAAATAGTGTTAGGTTTTAAAGGCTTATAACTTGGCCATTTATTGATGGATTTAAATTATTTTCACACCCTTTTATTCAGAATTGATGTAAAATGTGTTTGATATAAAGAGTTCAGTAATTTATCATTTGTAAACAATTGAAAATTTATCCAACTTTTAGGCCACAATCAACCCATTACGTGCTCGCTTGCACAACATTCATTTCTAGTAAACTTTTTTTACACCATATGTAGAATATGTATATTTCATTCCGGAATATTCTGATGTCTTCTTCATTTCTTATTTTCAAAAAGAACTTCATGTCGTCGACATAGATTAGCAATTTTAGTTCTTTGAGAACGAAAGAAATGTCGTTTACGTATAGAAGAGATCCCATATGAGAGCCTTTAGGGACGCTTGAAGTGACTTGAATTGGGTTCGATTTCTATCCGTTGAATTTAATTATTTGTTGGGGGTTAGTTAAATATGATTCAAGCCATTTCAGGAGTCCTGACCCAATTCCAATTTTTGCAATTTAAAGAGTAGCATTAGTATGTCAATACGGTTACTTCCAAAGAGGACCAGTGATGAGTATGAATGGAGACTGGATGAAACCAGAGGACAATTATGACACTCCCTTCAACGTATGTGAAATGTTGCGTTCGGATTGGGAAGTCGGTGGTCCTAGCTTTCGTCAAGGCTCAATCATATTTTTCACAGATGGCTCAAAAATTGGAACACAAACAGGTGCAGGAATATTTGACCTTGGGACAAATATTTCAGTAGCGATGGGACATTGTCCAACAGTGTTTCAAGCGGAAATCGTGGCCATACTTGAATGTGTAAGTGTTTGCCTGTTTTTTTCTGACAGTCAAACAGCACTAAAAGCGCTTCGTGCTTACAAATGTACATCAAAGATTGTCTGGGAATGTATTCCCCTGTTGCGACAGCTGTGCAAACAGAACTCAGTAAACTTATATTGGGTTCCTGGACACTGTGGCATTGAAGGGAATGAAAGGGCAGACGATCTCGCAAAATTAGGTTCCAATTCACCGTTTATTGACCCAGAACCATACTGTGGAATATCAAACTGTACGGTTAAAATGGAACTCAAACGCTGGGAAGAACAAAGGGTGATGGCCAACTGAATGGCCGTCACGAAGTGCAACCAGTACCAAAAATCTCTTGGAGCTCAATAAACGGTCTCTTAGTATATACACTGGCCTAGTAGCTGGGCACTGTCCGAGTAGATATCATTTGAAGAACATTGGTCGGGTTCAGAGCGATATCTGCCGTTTCTGTAGCATAGAACGTGAAACCTCGGAACATCTGCTCTGCAGTTGCGGTGCATTACACAGGCGTAGATCTAAATTTTTTCTTAGTGTTATCTTACAACCTAGTGGAATTTGGTCTGCTAATCCTGGAAAGGTAGTTGGTTTCATAAACCATATCATACCTGACTGGGAAAGGACGTGTCCAGGCAATTAGCTGTCCACTCATTAAATGGTGGTCAGCTTGCATGATACGAACAGTAAACAGGGGTACCACAAAAGTTCAAGTAATGGACGCAGTGGTTCAACTCCCCCCCAACAAAAAAAATGCCAATACGGTCAAATGCCTTGCTAAAAATCTGTATAGAGAGAGGGCTTCTACGTGGTTTCCATTCTCGATTGCATTCAATGAATAGTCTATACAAGTCAAGGTCGAACGAGCCGTATTGCATGTCAGTTTACCTAGTGTCTCACTTTCCAACAGGTGCTTCCAAAAATTTGTTTTTTTTTGTTATCGTAAAATTGAAAATATTTGTAGTTCTGTGGCGAACGTTTCAGCTCAATTGATCATAAGTTAACAAAGTTACATCAAATCAAAGTTGACCATTTTGTATAGAAACCGGCATGCGCTGCTATTATGTTGAACACAACTGTTGTAGGTATCTTGACTCCTATGAAACCTTCATTCTAAACAGCACTCACAAGGACGTTCGGATCAAGTGCACAATCGCATTCGCCATTCATGTTTTCAATGGTAGTAAGTAGAACCTTTATTTACCATCCATTACCGCCTCGTAAGGGGAACGGCAAATTCGACGAAGGAGCACTATTAAACCGAAGCGTACTTACTTGGTACCTTCCGCAGTCTCCTCCGGCTGCTGGCTTCTATTCGGATCGTCCGGCTTCATAGCGGGGAAGAGCAGCACCTCCTTAATGTTATTGTTATCGGTAAGGAACATGGTCAACCGATCGATACCCATACCCCAACCGCCGGTCGGTGGCAGACCGTACTCCAGTGCCGTACAGAAGTTCTCGTCGACCATCTGAGCTTCATCGTCACCGGCAGCCTTGTCGGCGGCCTGCTGCTCGAACCGTTCCCGCTGGACGGCCGGATCGTTCAACTCCGTGTATGCGTTGCAGATTTCCTTCTTCATGATAAACAGTTCGAAACGTTCGGTCAGACCGGTGGCACTTCGATGGTACTTGGCCAGTGGAGACATGATCTGCGGGTGATCGCAGATGAACGTCGGATTAATGCAGTTTTCCTCGAGGAATTCACCGACCAATTTGTCCAACAGCCGAGCTGTGGTCCTCGGTGATGGACACTCTACTTCGTGTTTGATACACAGATCGCTCAGGAATTTGTTCGTTTCCGTAGTGCTGAAACTGTCCGCGGCCGGGAACTTGACCTTTAGAATTTCCTCCAACGAACTGATCATCGAGACGCGCTTGAAAGGAGGGGTAAAATCGATTTCAAACTCCTTGCCGTCCGGTCCTTCCGGATGGTATTTGATCTTGTAGCTTCCGTGGATGCTCTTGACCATTCCGGCGAGCATGTTCTCCGTCAAGTCCATCAAGTCGTTATAATCCGCGTAGGCCATATAGAACTCGCACGTCGTGAATTCCGGATTATGAGTCAAATCAATACCTTCGTTACGGAACTGTCGACCGATTTCGTAAACACGATCCAGCCCTCCGACGGTCAACATCTTCAGGTATAGTTCCGGAGCGATTCTCAGAAACAGGTTCATGTTCAGGTCGTTGTGGTGGGTGATGAAGGGCTTAGCGGTTGCTCCTCCGGCGATCATGTTCATCATGGGCGTTTCCACTTCGAGGAAACCCATACCGTCCAGGAATTGTCGCACGAAGCTGATGATCTTCGAGCGGACATAGAAAATATCCCTCACGTTACTGTTGATGATCATATCCAGATACCGCTGCCGGAAGCGCGTTTCCTTGTCCTTCAAACCGTAATGCAAATGCGGCAGCATATGCAGACACGGCGACAGCAGTTTCAACTTCTTGGGAACCACCGAAAGTTCGCCCTTCTTGGTCTTTCCCGGGTACCCCTCGACCCCAACGATGTCACCACGACGCAGGCGGGCAGTGTCCTCAGCAAAGGTCTACAAAAAGATGTCAATACATTACATACCCTACCAACCATCCATCTCATCCCGCAGCACTTACAGCCTCACTTTCGTACAGCCTGGCGTTGGCCATCACCTGCAGCTTCATGCCCTCGCCTCTCAAATCGTAGAAAATTAATTTACCACTCGATTCACGGATTGCGTGAATTCTACCGGCCACGGAAAGACTCTCCTGTTCCAGCATATCGCCATCCTTAAGCTCGGAGTACTTTTCGATAAACGATTCCAGCGAACAGCTAACATGGAACTTGTGCGGATACGGATGGGTGGCTTCCGATTTCTTCAATTCCGTCACGGCAGCACTGCGTAACTTGAAGTAGTCATTCGGCGTAATTTCCTCCTCGTTGACTTTGGCTTCATTGTTGGGCTTGTCCCCTGCCGGAGCACTAGCTGCTTTTTCCTCCTTCTCCTTGACTTTCTGCTCGGCCTTCAAACGGCGCTTGAGCTCACTGAAATTGGAAGAAAAGCGAAATGATGATGAAATGTTGACCCTTTCTATCATAAGCCCCCCGCATCAGGAGCGAGGAGTGTGACGCACGCTTTTTGCCGGGTGGATTTAAGTCGCACCACTTCAGTGGAACTGAACATCGATGTCACCCTAGAATTCGCAGAAACGCCTTTGTTTACAATACAAATCGTACGGATTAATCGTCCGAAATTTAACATTTCTGCGGAAATTCGTTGTCTTATCTAATTTGTCACTGAATTCAACTTATTAGTTCGATAAAATGCGGATTTTCAACACCAAAACACGTGCACTTTACTTTTTTCTCGCTGATTTCTTTTCTAGCCCGTGGGCTTCCTGCTTGCTCCATCACCACTCTCCCCTTTCAATACCCCCTCTAGACCAACAAAATACCAACACATTCCGCTCGACGTGGAAAACCCGAACGAGCCGAACAGACCTGGGAACTTACTTCTTCGATAGATTTTCTCCGGCTGCTTCGGACATAGTTCAATCGGGATACACTAACGGGGCACCGTTTACACAATGTTCACCGGTTGGAATTTCGCAAACGAAATGCACTTTATCGGAAATTTTCGGCACTATCCGCAGCCAGCAGCACACGAGTTTTGTTGCGAAAAATGCGGTGTACTTTCCTCGCTTCGATTCGCTTTCTGCGAGGGAGCTCGCATCAATGTTATTTATATAAGGTCCAGACCAACAGGCTTAATGGTATTAGTGAATTGCGCAAAATTTGTTATTGGTAGGGAAAAATACTCAGAAGCAGAGATAAGCGGAGAAAACAAAATACAATCAATTCGGCATCAGCAGGGATTTGTACCTAAATTATCTTGCAACGCTTATGTTAGAAGCCTGCATTTCACACGAGATTTCACATGACTTTTATTTTTGATTCGATTTACGTGCAAAATAATAATAAACCACTTCATTCGAGCAGTTAAAATGACGTTTACTACCACTCGAACTTTGAAATAAAACATTATTTTGAGATTTTTTCTTCTAGAACCTCGAGAAAAGTAGCCTAAATTTGTGCGTTTCATAAAAAAATATAAATTAGTTGGTCCAGTTTTGTGAAATCGCTGGTAGAAAGTTAAGATAAAACTGCTTGACAAAGTAGTCAATTGATTGCATCGCAATATTTTGCACATTTCAGGCATAACATTTGATAACGGCACAAAAGCATTTGTAAACAAACTTTCTAAGGCCCTTTACACGCGAACCAAAATACACTCACGCAAACCAATAACATCATCGGATAGGGGCAACTATCACCTTTCCGAAAGTGGTATTGGTTTGCGTGGGCGTACTTTGGTTCGCGTGTAATGCGCTGGCCAGACTGAGCAGTTATAACATGTTATAACGGTTGTCAAATAATTGTAAAACGCTGTCCAGACTGGAGAGTTATAACATGTTATAACGGTTGTCAAATAATTGCAACACAGAGACCACCATCAAGATAGCGCTATAACATGTTATAACTCTGTAGTCTGAACGTACTATAACATAAACGCTGTCCAGACTGGAGAGTTATAACATGTTATAACGGTTGTCAAATAATTGCAACACAGAAACCACCATCAAGATAGCGCTATAACATGTTATAACTCTGTAGTCTGAACGTACTAATAGAAACCCTAATAAAAAATAACCATAAACGAACGATAACCCAAATCATTGAACTATTCCACAAATGGTTTGGATGATACCCAGAACACGTCGTTAAGCAAATTAACCATACAATTTTTATTAGGGAACCACCATCAAGATAGCGCTATAACATGTTATAACTCTGTAGTCTGAACGTAATATAACCTCGAGATAGCCGCGAGTTATCGGCCACCGCTTTACTAACGTTAGTTTTAAGTAATTTTGTGATCTAAATAATAAATATCGGCTCCGCAAAGCTACAACAAATGATGAACGCATTATATAAATAATAAAAAAAAACACTAACCACTAGAAATACTAGGAAATACTCAGAGGGAGAGATGGGCGGAGAGAATGTTTTGAGCCAAATGAACTGCCAAAATCTGAGCCAATCGAACATTCCCATTAGATTTTGTCCGAGGATTTCTTATGATTATTCTTATTAAACGCTGTCCAGACTGGATAGTTATAACTAAAGAGCCTGAATTTATAAAGAGGCGACATGGAGAAAACAAGAATTTGGAACGGTAATGGTTCTTAACAACCCATTATTTGTAAGGTCCAGTTCCAAAAAACCATAATACATAAGGTTGAAACTTTATCATTAAACGTTCATGTAAAGTTCCATAACCATTTCAGTTAAAGTTTAGCAGGGATTATAAACAATTTTTAACCATTTTAGGTAAGGTCAATTTATGGTTCGCGTTTATGCGGGATGGGATCGAAACTAGAAATCATGCAAATAAAAAATCACAGTGAGAAATATTCAATGAGTTATGTCTATTTGTCTGTGCTTTTAGCATCTTTACAACTAGTCATGAAACGGTGACGATCGCTATCGATTTTTCTTATGAATGGCTTTGAAGATCGAAGTATAGAAAATTAAAGAAAATTAACTGTATAAGGTCTGCGCCAAAGGGCTTATTGGTGTTAGTGAAATGTGCAAATGGTTAGTGGTGTTCGTATTATATTGCAATGTTTATCTTTTTACACGAAACAGCTGTTGGCAATGACGTATTTCTATCTGTTCTCAGTATGTTGGCAGTGACGTATTTCTATCTGTTCGCAGATGTTCAGCAATGTTTACAACATTTTTGCTTCTAACACCAGCAAGCTGCCTGTTGGCCTAGACCTTATATAAATGACATTGCATCTCGCGATCTTTTTTCAAGAGTGAGCTGTCACATTGATAGGATTGGGCGATCTTCAGAGAAAGATCGATCTTGACGGATCGATCTTATATTTCTCGATGAACATTTCAAATGGTCCTATCTGCTTTGATCGATTCTCTTCATCGACTTTCTCTTTTCATAACCACTGCTATGCAAACAGATTTCGCGCTAATTATACCATCTAGTTTGATAAAGGAGGATCTTTTCTAGCGTCCAAAATGTCAAATACAAAAGGGAAAGCTTTTGCAGCTGAGTTATTGATGAAAGAGAAAGTCGATGAAGAGAATCGATCAAAGCAGATAGGACCATTTGAAATGTTCATCGAGATTTGGCTCTAGAATCGATCCACTAGTAGTTTTGAAATAGCGTGTAGGTACACTGAAACAAAGATAATAGTTAGGAATACTATTTTGCAGAAAACACTTATTTTCAGTATAACTACGCCTAATACCGTTAAATCTACCATGATTTCAGTATAATTGACTATAAATATAATCAAATTTACTACCATTCTGTCAAAACTACTATGCTTACTCAAACGACATAGTAGTTTTGATAGAAAAAATAGTAAAATTAAATGAATTTCGTTTCTGCCAAAATCTATTGGTGGGAGTATTTAATTTAAACCATCAATATAGTATTTTTGCCAATGGATTTTGTTTCTGTGTACTGAAATTCGACAGTGAGCGTTCAATAGGGCCTACTTGTAATGATCGATTCTCTTCATCTTTTTACACGCAGAAAAAAATATTTTAAACGTAATAATATCAGGCATAAAGTACGCCCACGCAAACCAATATTGCGCGTTTCACACCAAATTGGACTAATAAGCGCGTTTTCACTTATTAAAAAGTGTGATAAAACTGCAAGTTTACTTCTAATCGTCTTGGTGTCTTCGGTGCACTTATTCCTTATGATGCAAGCAATAAGTGCTCCGAAGACATCAAAACGGACAGAAACGTGCACTTTTATCACACTTTTTGCATTTTTGGGACAGTCCAGTTTCAGATGCAATCAGCAATACCACTTTCGAAAAGGTGATAGTTGCTCCTATCCGATGATGGTGTTGGTTTGCGTGAGTGTACTTTGGTTCGCGTGTAAAGGGCCTCAGAAAGTTTGTTTACAAATGCTTTTGTGCCGTTATCAAATGTTATGCCTGATATTAACAATAAGAATTTCATTTTGATTTCGCTGCAAAAAGAAATCATTATTGTTTCAACAATCCAGTATTTTTGTCCCTCAAAACCCATGGGTTGTTAAATCAAAAAGAAAATCTTTTCGAATTTACAAGAGCTTTCATGGTTTTGACGTAAGCTGCAAATGCAATTATACACACAAATCTCAAATCACTCCGGAAATAATATGGCCAATTTTTTTTTATGTTTTGTTTCCTTTTTCACTGATTATCCTTCGGAAGGGAAGTGAAGCCGTTGGTCCCCGGTTCATTAGTTGATGGGTCGATATGTAGGGTCCAGGTGTGGGAGCTGCCTTCCTGGCGTCGGGAGCATTGGTACTCAGTACGGAAAACAAGATCGACGGAAAAAAATCAAGGAAAAAAACAGAAAATTGATTATATTTAGCAACTGCAGCTCGAACTGCAGCATACTTATTTACCTCAAGCAAAGACTTCAAATCAAGAAGACTGGCAGCTTTGCCAGAATCCAAGCGACAGATACAGTAGCGCCAACAATCAATACGAAACTAACGATTTTAAATTGGCTCACCACTTTAGTAGCCTATTGGTCCCAAGCAAACGATTAACGTACCCTATTCTAGTTGAAATTCTATTACTACACTATGTTTGTTTTGATTCGCTATGAAAGTTTGACAGATAACATCAAGGGTGTGTGGATTCATGCAGAATATGCAGGGGTGAGTGAAATTGGCGTTGACGGCGACTCTGTAGCTCTTTACTCCTATGAGAAAATCCATAAGCAAACGTCAGACTGTGCGTGAAACATGGCGGACTTTGTACTATCCTTTCACTCCACCGAAAATTCCTATAAGAAACTGTCTATATTTGCGGAAAGAGCAAATTTTTCGACGGTGCCGTCAACGCCAATAGCTTGGGACTGCTTGGGACCGTTGTTCTGGTACTGAGTGAGCCAAAAATAATAATGATTTTCTTCGGGACCCAGTGGTCTTAGAGTTACCTCTATGGTAGCGCTGCGCTTGAGTAAAGGTGGAAGCAACCTCGGTTTAATACCCCGTTCACATTACAGCATATATCACGTGATATCGAGGGGGCGACACATCTAAATCTCAATTCTATATGCTCAAAAAATCTCACACTAGCGAATCCATCTTCAAAAAATATTCTTTCATTTCTCGCATCTACTTGCATCGCGCTGCATCTTTTTGCAGGAAATCTTCAAAATCGACATACACTCAAAAATATTATTAAACACAGAATGTATAAAATTTATACATTTTTCGATTAGAGGCTTTTTACCCATCACTATTTATAAAAAGTAATCTAATGTAGATTTTCATTTTATACTAAATATTTATACTAGCAGAGGAATCTTTTCTGTGCTTTGCTGAATTGCCGGATACCATCAGCATTCCAAACAAGAAAGAAAATATTCTGGACTATTGGAAATAAGAAAATGTCTTTTCGACCTTCTTAATCAATCCAAAGAAGTTAAGGTGAGTAGATTTAAGCCCTGCTTTAAGCTTTTAGCTAAATTTCTGGATGCAACTCTCGATTTTACAATTGTGCAAATTATAAACCATTAAACCATTGTTACGCCATATTCAACCGGAACGGCGAGGGATATTGTGTTCCGATATGTCCACCAGCAAAGGCAAGCATGTGTAGCGCCGGTTCGGTT